TAAGAAATAAGAAATAAGAGAAAGCAACGTAGTAACAAGAGCAACGTAGACGCAGCGCGTCTAGACACTTCTTTAGATAGTGTCAACTATCCAGTGAATATTATCTTTTAAGGCCTTTTAAAAGATATGATAATCAATCCGTTTACCTATATGGAATGTCGGTGAGATTCGACTGACTGTGCGAATGCGGCACTCTAGTCACCGACGTTGTATCTCGAACACCGCAGACGGCCAACTCGTGAGCAGATCCAGAAAGACTCCGATCGCTTCCTCTGCGTTTGCTGCTGCTGCTGCTGCTTCCTCCACTGCCAACAGCAGCGTGCTGTTGTAAAATCGTAGTAGTCGTTGGAGTACAGGTCGACGTTGTAGTCGAAGTCGAAGAAATTTTCTTTCTAGCTTGCACGCCAAAGCTGAAAAACCTACGTGGAACGTAGCCCCGTTGAAGGGAAAAGATTACGCACAAACTATGAAATGACCGACAGACGGAAAGACAGACTGAAAGATAGACAAACGAGGTGACAAACAAACACGTTATATAAATAAAATAATAGGAGAAGGAAGAAAATGGCAGAGAATAAAATTAGTGGAATCTTACCATTTTTTTTGCAAAGGTTGCACACCAGCAGCTAAAATATTTCGATATTGATCGGAACGAATAAATCTAGGATAACAATCCTTTTTTAAAAGTAACGTGTACACGTGTTCAGCGGCGGAATCGAATGTAAATCGAGTTGGATTTCTCATTTCTTGATGTACTTTTTCCATCGTCTTCCCGTCTATGTTTATTTCGCAAGGTGCTCCAGGTGCCAGGAATTCTCTGCAATACATTATGTTTATTATTTCTCCACTGTATGTGTGCGTGCGTGCGTGTGCGCGACTCATTTCGACGAGTCGATTTGATAATAATAAAGTGTTTAACACGGTGTACGTACTTGAAAATTTCGTTGACTTTGTCGGGTACTTGTGCTTGAAAACTATGCCTCAAATCTTTCACCGCCAACCAAAATCGTATATTTTCGTGACTATATTCTTTCCTCAAATAATTTGTGAACTCTTGCAAACCTACGACAAAAAGTATGGAATGAAAATGCAATTCTCTTCTGACTATA